TGGGATGCAGCCAGGGGTCAAAGCCCGCAGAGTGACCTCAGCGCAGCGCTGGGTGGGAGGCAGCGCTCCTGCCTGGCAGAGCAGAGGACGGAAGGAACCTCAGCAGGGGCACATCTTCGAACAGGAGCCACTCGGGCTGCCCCTCTCTTCCAGAGGCACAGTGGGGATGGGGCAGAGGGGTGCCCCACAGCGTGTGCCTGTCCTGGTGTCCCCTTCCCACGGCTGAGGTGCCACCCCCCCCTCGGCAGGTCTGGGGATGCACAGCGTGGGAACGTGAGCCAGCAGTGCTCTGGGACAAAGGAAGCGGAGCTGGGAAGTGGGTCAGGGTCACGGTGACACCCGAGGCGCTGGCAGAGGTGCCAGGCTCCTCCCAGACCAGCACAGCACGGAAACAAGGGGAAGAAGCCCCCACCCCAAAAGCTGGCACCCCACGCAGCCTGCAGTGCAGACCCCTACCCGAAACGATGTTGACGACGTGGTAGGGGATGCCCAGGGACTGGTAGAATTCCTCGGCCGTGGCGATCATCTCATCAAACATCTCCCATGACTTGTTGTCGTGCGGGGAGGCGTAGACGAACTGCTCGATCTGCAGAGATCCCCCACGTCGGCTCCATCCCTGCCCCAAGCCCCACGCGCCGCCTCCCAGCCGCCCTCACCTTCTCAAACTGGTGCACACGGAAGATGCCGCGCGTGTCGCGGCCGTGCGAGCCGACCTCCTGGCGGAAGCAGGTGGACAGCCCTGCATATTTGATGGGCAGATCCTCCGGCTTCAGCCACTCGTCGCGGTGCAGGGCGGCGATGGGCTGCTCGGAGGTGGCAATGAGGTACTTCTCATCGATGGAGCTGTCCTCGGCCTTCTCGCTGCCTTTGCCGATCACCTGGGGAACACGAGGGGACCGTGGGCTTGGGAAAGAGACAGCGCCCTCCTTTCCCAGCTGTTCTCACACAACCCACAGCCCTGACAGATGCTGCTGGTGGCGGCACGGACACCCAGCCCCCTGGCAGCAACGTTTTCCAGGAGCGGTGCTGAGAGGAGAACGGGGCGGCTGCAAAGTGGGTCGCAAGAAGGGGAGCAGCTGCCGTTTGCTGGCCTCCTTTCAGGGCCTCGATGGCCTCCTGCCAGCTCCTGACAACCAGGCTGGGGACGAACCGTCTCCGTCACCACATCGCCCTGACAACCGGCTGCGTCGGCTGCGGACCGCCAAGCCTTCCTCAGAGCAAAGCAGACCCAGAGCCCTGCTGGGTAAGTGGATGGCAGCCGGCTGCCCCCCGGCAGGGGGAGGCACACGGCGTGGGCTGGGCGGGATGGTTGGACCCTGAGGGGCCACGGGTGCCAGGCGGCGAGACACAGAGAGCCAGCGGGCGTCGGGCTCACCTTGTAGAGCTCCTCGTCAAACTGGCTGAGCTGGGCCACCTCCTGCATCACCTCCTTCCGCATGAAGAAGGGCGTGTAGACGGGAGTGTAGCCCTTGGCACGGAGGCTCTGCAGGGCGTACTGGATCAGGGCCTGCTCCAGGAACACCAGGGGACCCTGCGGGATGGGGGAAGCCACGGCTGCTCACACACACCCTGCTGTGACGTCCCCACGGAGCACCGGGCTGCAGGGCTCTCACCTTCAAGAAGTAGCCCCGGCTCCCCGCGACAACGGCCCCCTTCTCTCCCTCGTAACCATCCACCATCACCACCAGGTCCACGTGGGAATACTTCTTCCTGCAGCTGCAGTCCCCCCAGATCCGCTCCACCTTGTTGTCTGCATCCTGTGCACACAGGAAGGGGACAACGCTTCACATCTCCTCCCCAGGGCCGCGGTGACATCAGTTTGTTCCCCACCGGGCAGTTTGGGAACACGACCCCCGGTCGCCTCCCTCCCCCCCAGCCCCACACAGGGGCCCCATCCCGACCCAGGCTTTGCCATCCGGCAGCGACCAAACAGAGCCTGGAACCCCAGTGCTGATCCCTGCTGGTCACTCATTGTGCGGCCGCTTGGCAGCTGGCCCGGCCCGATTGTGTTCCTCCAGCAAAATATTCCTGCTGGATGAATGGGGGCAGCGAAGGGAGATCCCAGCCCCCGGCCCGCTGTGAATTTCCCATGTATGGCCCGAACAATGCGCTGTCTGAGCCGCTCTTTGTGCGCTCCCAGCAGGAAACGCTGTCTTGTCATGCAGATTTCATTCACCTCCAGCAGATCCGGGGGGGGGGGGGCACGGCCCCACAGCAGCGTCCCGCTTTGACGAACCAGCTCGGCCAGCCTGGGGCAGCCCCGCAGCCCCCAAACAGCGCACGGTGCCGGGCTCCATCCCTACCTCATCGTTGCTGATGGGCACCGAGGGGTGCAGGAGGTTCCCGATCTCCCGGAGGCTCTCGAAGCGTTCTGCCTCCAGCCTGACGCGCTCCGCATCGCACTTCAGGATGGCTTCGTCGATGAGGAGACGGACCTTCTTGATCTGGGACACCTGCAGCCCCTGCACAGGGAGGAAAGCCGCTGAGGAGAGGAGGCTGAGCGCAGTCAATCACCCTGCCCTGACATCCACGGCCTCCGGAGTGAAACCCGCGGGCTGAGCGCATCAAACAACAGCCAGAGAGGACAAAGCCCCGCCATCGGTCAGGCTCTGAAAAGCCCCGGGTGAGGCACGGCGTCACGCAGCGCCTGGCAGCCGCAACGGGGAGCAGTCAGCTCCCATGGCAGCAAAAGCCGACCAGCGTCACGCTCATTAAACAGCGTGGTTAATGAAGGGGGAAGGCGAGCGGGCAGTGAGGGAGGGCCTCCAGGGAACAGCAGCTACTGAGGCTGCTCGGATCCCCCCTAACCGCAGGTCGGGTCGCCGACCGGCGCTGCTGCACAGCGGTGCTGGCCTCCAGATGAATGACAGCGGGAAAAAGCCGGCTTAGGACCGGGAGAAATGGGGATCCCCGCTATGGGGCTGCAGGCAGTGCTGGGGATCCATAGGAGCCATGGGGGGGAGGTGGGGTCGGACTCACCCCCAGGACATCAGCTGTCAGCTCATCCAGGTTCTGCGCGCTCTCTGGCACGGACTCATCGCTCCCTACGGGCTCCTTCTTCTGCAGCACGAGGGAAGAGAAACCCCGCCAGGGTTTAAAGACCCGAACAAGAAGGTAAAAGCATCCTTTAACACTGCCGGGGAGAGGCTGGCGAGGCCCTCACCTTCATCTTATCACCGATGGTTTTGCTGCAAAGGTTCTTCAGCTTGTTCAAGTTATCAGCACGAAATCTGCCTGCGGGGGGGGAGGGGGCCGCGTCAGTGGGGCAAACGAGAGGGGCTGCAGCCAGGAGCTCCAGCACCAGAGCTTCCTTTAATGCCATTGTGAGCAACACCACAGCCGTGGGGTTGAGCCCCTTTAAACCCAACGGGAGCAGCGCTGCACCACTTGGACCCCAAAATCCGGGGCCGTTGGGGGTCTGGGCGGGTCCAGGGCTGCGGGGTGACATTGGAGCATCTCGTTTTGCTCAGCAAAGCGTGGCGGGGACAGGAGCCGCGATGAGGGGACGCACGCAGCTCCCCGTGGGTGACGCAGGGTTCGCTGCCCCCGGATCCCCGCAGGGCGGCACAGCGGGACGCGCCAACAACACCGCGCGTCTGCAGGACGCGGGGCGGCTCCCCGGAGGGCAGAACGGCCACGGCATCACCCGGCGCCGGGCACGGGGCTGAGCTGGCACGGATTGCATCAGCCGGGAACGGACGGCAGCACGCGGAGCTCCGAAACACCGCGGCGGGGCTGCGCAGAGCCCGGCGCGGCCGTCCTCGACCCCGCGGGCTGCCCCCCACCCCCCTCCGGCTTTAGGACCCCCCCAACCCCGGGTCTCGGCTCAGCCCCAATAGGAGCGCGGCTCCCCGGGGGGGGCGGTCCCACGTACACCTCCGCCAGGCGCCGTCCGCCCGCACCAGCGCGTCCACCAGCGCCGGGTCTTTGAAGCGTTTCCGTTGCATCTCCCGCACGGCAGCGGGATCCCCGCCTTTGTCGGCACGGAACAGGTCCAGGTCCAGCACCATGGCGGCGGCTCCGGAGCGCGGTGACAGCGGCGGTTCCCGTGCCCGTGTCCGTTCCGCACTGCGCCTGCGCAGCGCCGCAGGGCGGGGCCTCCGCGGAGCAGCCGAGGGGGGGGCGATGTGTGGGTAGAGCGCCGACAGCGCGCCGACAGCGCCCCCTGGTGGAGACGAGGCGGCGCTGCGTTGGGTCTGAGCGCCCCCGCGTGCGGCTGCCGGCGGGGCTCTGCGCGACCCCACGGGAGTAAAGGAGCCTTGTGGCATCCCTGTGGCGCACATGTGGCAAGCCAAGGACACCATCTGTCACCCAATAGCATCCTCCCCGTAACCTCCAGCATCCCCCACAACATCCCTACAGCAGTGTGGCCCCCCCATGGGACTCTCATCACCTCTTATGGCATCTCTGTGGTCCCCCCATAGCATCACCAGCATCCCATGGCACCACATGGTACCTCAGGGTAACCCACAGCATCTGCAGGCTCCCTTATGGCAGCTCCATAGCATGACCACGGCACAACGTGGCGCCCCAGTGGCATTCTCTTGGTCCTCTATGACACCCCCACGGTGCTCAATAGCACCCAAGGGTGCCCCTATGACATCCCATAGTGCCATATGGCAATCCAAGGATGTCCTGCAACACTCCATAGCGTCCTCATGATGCTCCCTGGCATCCCCGTGGCACCCTATAGCATCTTCACAGTCCCCTATGGCATCCTCATGGTGTCCCGTGACGTCACCACGGCATCCCATAGAACCATTACAGCACCCCATAGCAGTCTCACCATCCCATATGGCATCCCCAGAGCCTAGGGTGTTTCTTGGCGCCATATGGCAACCCGAGAACATCCTACAGCATCTCCATAGCTACTTCACGGCACCATATGGTGCTCCATAGCATTTGCAGAGTCCCCTGTGGTTTCCCCATCAAACCCCAGCTTTCCCCTGCCCATTGCTGGGTGCCACACACCCCCCCAGCACAGAACCACCACACCAGGCTCAGAAACATCACCTTTATTGCACAGCCAGGGCATGGGGGGCCGCCTGGTGCTGCCTAGAAAACGCTGAGATCGCTGTAAAAAGGGGGGGATGGAGCCATGGGGTGGGGGACACGGGGCACTGCTGTGGGGACAGCCGCAGGGGGACCCACTGTGGGGCAGCATCACCTCAATGGGTGCATCCTGGCAGGGGGAAAGGCAGCCGGGGGGGGAGTGGGGCTGGCATGGGGCTGTGGCACAGCTGGGATGGCATGGGGTGACGCGGCGTGGGGGGACAGTGACACGGTGTGACATGGCCACCAGGCGTTCCCTGCCGTGCCCCAAGCGGAGCACGAGGGGCCAGCAGCTTGCACATGTGTGCACACTCGTGCAACCCCCCCATGCACACTTCTGCCCCACATGTGTGCCCCCAACACGACACATAGGGCTGCCCCCCCCCCCCGTCCCTGTGCCGGGCTGGGGGTGCTCCTGACCCCCACGTCTGTATTTGGCATTTTTGGCTTTTCCCAAGGGTGGGGGAGACAAAAGTGCCCCGGGGCTCTGTGGGTCCTTAAGGCCACGGGGTGGGGGGTGGGACGGCCCCCTCACAGCTCCAGGTCGGTGCCACCAGACGATGGCTTCAGGGGGACGGAGTCAAAGCCGTCTGGGGTGCGCTGCAGGGAATGGGGACACTGAGGGATGAGGACACAAACACGGGACACCCCTCCCCTGTGGGACACCTCCACGGGGCATCCATTCCCACAGGACATTGGTTATCCCCTCTGTAGGATACCTCAACCCCATGGGACCCTGCATCCCATGGGACATCCGCAGCTCCACGCATCATCCTCATCCCCTAGGACCCTCAACCCTGTGGGACACCTCCAGCCCCTGCAACGTCCCCATGGGAACCCCCACATCTCACGGGGGACACCCCAATCTCACAGGGCACCCCAACCCTTGGGACTCCTCTGTGCCTTGGGTCAACCCCGTGGGACTCCTCCATCTCCATCCCTCGGACGATCTCCTGGGACACCCCCCATCCCTTGGGTCAATCTCATCCCCTTGGGTCAACATCACCCCCACGGGACACCTCCATCCCTTGGGTCAACCCCGTGACACACTTCCACCCATTGGGACAATCCCATCCATCGGGACGCCCCCATGGAACGCCTCCATCCCTATAGGACCCCCCTGCTCCCGTTCCCACTCCCACCTTGGTGGCCAGGCAGCGGATCTTGCCCAGCAGGGACTTCTTGCTGGTGAAGATGAGCTCGTCCTCACCGTCCTCTCCCTCCATGATGGCACAGCTATCTGGTGCCGGCAGCTCGCTCTCCTTGGCCGCCGCGTTCAGCACCAGCCGTGAGTACTTGTACTCCAACCTGCAAACAACCCCCATATCTGCAACCTCCGCACAGGAACGACGGGCTGGGCTGGGGGGGGGGAAGCAGGGGACGAGCCCCACACTCACTTTCGGTTCTTCTTCCAGAAGTAGGCGGCTAGAGCAGCCAGCAGCACGGCCACGCACGTCCCCACCGAGACGCCCACCTTCAGCCAGAACTCAGCGCTGCGGCACGGGCGGACCCGGGGGGGGGGCAGGCGCTGCCCTCCGTGGCACAGCCGCGGCTCCCGCCACACGTACGTGGTCCTCTGTGTGCGCCACCGAGGGGGGGGGGAGGGAGGTCAGGGCGGTGACGTCGCGTCCCCGCTGTCCCCGTCGTCCCCGCGCGCCCCCCTACCTGCACGCCGCCCTGGCACGCGCCCACGATGGCACGGAAATGGTTGGCGGAGCAGCGCGGGCAGCCCTCGGCCGTCGCCCATAGGAGGTGGAAAGCGCAGCCATCGCAGGTGCCTTCGGGGCATTTGCTGTGGGGGGACACGCGGGTAGAGGGGCGGCTGTCCTCAAAGTGGGGTCCACAAATGCGCCGCTCTCCCCGAGGCGTTACGTTCGGGGACGCGGTGGCGGCCGTCCCCAAAGTGCCCGGATTCGCCACCCTCCCCCCCACGGATGGCACTACAGCGGGGCACGGAACACAGGGACCCGGTGGCGGCCGTCTCCAAAGCGAGGTCCTCGGGGACGGCACGCTCCCTGCGCTCGTGCACGGGGACGCCTGGAGACAAGGGACGCCCGGGGGCCGTGAGGGCGCCGCCGTTCCCCCGCGGCGGGACCCACCTGGGCACAGCCAGGCCGCCGGTGCCCGGCCGCAGCGGGTCGCAGCGCAGGCGGATGGTGGTGGCCCGGCCCCCGGCGCAGGACTGCGTCACCTCGCTGGACCTGCGGCGGCCAAAGGGAGTTCAGCGCATCCCCGGGGTCCCCGCTCCGCCCCGCGTCCCACCCCAACCTCCGCCCACCTGAAGAAGAAAACGATGTCGGGCAGCTCGGGGCCGGCGGGGGGGAACAGCTCGGGGGGCGCGGCGACGCCGTCCAGCGCGGAGCTCACGGTGACGCCTGCGGTGGCGCTCAGGTGACGCGGGGGGACTCGGCACCCGCGGCGCGCCGGGACGCGGAGGGGTTTGGGGCTCACCCAGCAGGCGGTCCGCCAGGCTGACGGGCTGCGAGGACACGGCGGCGCGGTGGCCGACGACATCGGACGGCACCACGATGGCCTGGCACACGTGGGACGTCACCACCCGGCCGGAGCCGCCCTCGTCGGGGAGCCGCGCGTCCGTCACGTTGTCCGAGCACGAGGCGGCCTTCCTGCCCTGCCGGCGGCACCGCGTCGGGGGGTGCGCAGCACTGCGCGTGTGTGAGTGTGAGCGCTGCCGAGTGTGAGTGTGAGTGAGGGTGTGAGTGTGAGTGTGAGGGTGGGGTGAGTGCTGCTGCATCTGTGTGCAAGGTGCTGCCAGCCCTTTGTGCAAGGACACGACACACCTGTGTTTGCACGACTGCACATCAGGCCCTATGGGCGCACACTTGTTTGCACGCACGTTTCCACCACTCCATGTGAGTGGACACAAGCGCTCGCCCAGCTGTGCACTCACACGTGGGTTTCACTGTGAGCTGTGTGCATGTCTGCGTGGCTGCATGCAAGATGCACATGTGGCCATGAATGCGTGGCCGTGGGTTTGCACAACCACGTGTGTTTGCACGGCTGCACAGCCACGTGTTTGCACGACCACACGCTCCGTGCCCCCCCCCCCCACTCACATGGTTGCCGCAGAGGCTGATGTTGAAGTGATGGAAGTATTTGAGGCCTTTGGAGGTGAAGCTGGGGCCGCTGGTGAAGGCGGTGCTGGCAGACAGAGCTGAGAAGTCGTAGTGCAGCGTGCGGCCGGGCAGCGCCAGGGAGAAGGTGCAGTCGCTGTAGCAGAGGGAGCGGATCTGCCCACAGCGGGGGGCTGCTGTCACCCAACGGGGTCCCATCGTGCCACCCAGCCAGGGTGTCGTCACCCACGGGGACGTGCGGGGGGCTGCAGGGCGTCACCCATGTTGGACGCTCAGGGACAGCTGTCACCCATCAGGAAACGGTGCCACCCGTGTGGGATGTCAGAGGTTGGTGCCCCCCCAGCGGGGACAGCCAGGTGCCGCGTCCCCCCTCCGCTCCACACAACGCCACCCGTCAGGGATGCCCGACAGCCCCCCTTCACCCCAGGAACGTGGGGATGCTCACCTGGTTGCTGCGGGTGCCGGGGCCGCAGGGCTGGCAGGCGGGGGGGCCGTCAGGTGGGCGTCCCCGCAGGAAGGTGCCGGGGGGACAGGGCTGGCAGGAGCCGGTGCTGTGATCCAGGGTGTGCCCGGGGGGGCAGGGGGCACAGGGCCCCCCAGTGCTGGCACAGCGGCGGCAGAAGGAAGCCACCCCCCCCAGCACGTTGGTGACGTTGATGGAGTAGAGCTTGGCCACATCACTGGTGTAACGCCGGCCCTGGAGAGGCGGTCAGCATCATCAGGTGCTGGGCAGGGGATGGAAGGGGGGGGGGGGATGACGCTGCTGTCCCCATCCCTGTGCCCCCACTCACCGCCTCGCGGTACCGCGTGCGCTGGAAGGCCCACGTGAAGCTGGTGGTGGCGTTTTTCTCCACCACGTAAGTGTAGGACTGCTTCCCCCGGGGCCCCGTCCACGTCTCCACCGGCGTGTTGGTGCGTGAGTTGATGCCCTGTGAGGGACGGCAGGGGGAACATTCCTCCATGCCCCCCCTCCCCGGCCACCCCCCCCCCCCCCCGCCACCACTCACCACCATGAAGTACAGCTCACAGCTGACGCTGCAGACCGTCTCGAAGACGAAGGTGATCCGCGCCACCTCCTTGCCGTCCCCATCCTCCAGCGCCGGCTGCGGGGGGCTGGGGACACGGGGACGGTGGGGACACGGCTGCGGGGGGGGCACGGCCTCCCCGGGGACGCGGCGGGCGCTCACCTGAAGCCGGGCACCAGCAGTGTCAGGATCATGAAGTCGTTGTCGGAGGCTCCTGCTGCTGTGTAGATGTAATCCCCGGCCACCTCCCAGCCTGCAGGGACACGGGGACAGCTCGGTGACATCCCCTGCGCCGCGGGGACGGGGAGGGGACGGCGTGGCGGTACCTGCCATCCCCTTGTACTCGAAGTTGACGCCGCTGAGCACGGTGGTCTCCATGTTCGGGGGCAGCACGTTCCACCACTTGTACTCCAGCCCCAGCACCGGCTCGGTGCCGGCCGGGCAGCGAACGCAGCCTGGGGACAAGCGGGGACGTCAGGGAAGGCACCCACAGGACCTCGGGGTGCCCACCTCCCAACGGGGTCCTCCTTACCAGAGCCGTTGGAGTAGGAGCCGTAAGGACAGGGCTCACAGGAGCTGCTGTTGCTTTTGTAGAAGCCGGGGTTGCAGGGGGGGCAGCGGGTCTTCAGCCCCGAGGGGGGCAGCTGGGCAGCGCGGGGCAGCACTTCGCTGCAGATCTTCGGCTCTGCCCACTTGAACATCAGCTGCGTCTGCGCAGGGACACGGGGTGAGCAGCACCGGGATGGGACGCGGGGGCAGCGCAGTGGGTCAGGGCTGGAGGTGGGAGGGGGGGGGGTCCGTACCTCCCCGTTGGCATCGCACGCCGTGTGCGTGTAGAAATAATCCTTGTCAGTGCAGGGCGGGCGCACCTTGCAGGATGCTGAGCCGGGCTCTGCGAGCGGTGGTGGCAGTGAGGTCTCCAGGTGGCACCCAGGGGTGTCCCCACGGCCCCACTCGGAGCATCCCGGGCTGCAGGGTCGGGGTGTCCCCCCTTTTCTTCTCACCTGCATAGGCGGTGGGCTCGCAGGGCTGGCAGGCGGTGGCCCCTTTGCTGGAGAAGCTGTTGGCGGGGCACAGCTGGCAGGAGGAGGAGCCGGCGGCGGCGGCGAAGGTGCCGGGTTTGCAGGGGAAGCACTCGGAGGTGTAGGCGACCCCTGGCAGCGGGACGGCGCTCAGGGGTGGGGGGCTGTGGGGAGCCCAACCCTGCGCCCACCCACCTACCTGTGATCCCGATGTTCCGCACCAGCACGGGCTTGGGGACCTTGGACCAGACGGAGAACGCCGTGGTCCTCCAGTAGAGCACGTTGTTACCACGGCTCAGCTCCACCTGCACGGCACAGGGGGGGTCCCAGGGAGGGGTCAAAGGGGTCAGCACCCACCGCTGTGCGCCACCACCCTCCCCTCTGCGCCCTCAGAGTGCAGCTCCTTGGTCTGGGGTGACAAATGGCCCGGAGGGGGATGAGGGAGGGCTGCGGTGGGGAACCCTTCTGTGGGAGCCTGTGGGATCCCCAAGGCGCTCCCAAGGACCCCCCCACCCCGTGCCACCCCATCCCCGTGCTCACGCTGTGGAACTCCCAGCCCTTCTCCGTGGTGCGCATCCAACGCGACTCCTCCACCGTGGGCTGGCACTGGTCGTTCTGCACCTATGGGGACGGGGACAGCATCAGCACAGGGTCACCCCTCCGGCATCCCTGGGACCCCCACCCCGTGCTTACAAAGAACTCAAAGACGATGCTGCTGTCGGGGTAGATGTACTCAAAGGACACGGTGCCCGACTGCTTCAGGCTGACGGCGTACATCAGCGTGGCCGTGCACTCGTCCGTGTTGGAGGCGATGTAGTCCCCCAGCGGCACCCACGTGGACCTGAGGTGGGGGCACAGAGTGGCACAGGGGCACACGAGGGGACGGGGGCTCTGCCCTGAGGCATTTTAGGGTCTGATTCCCTCTGTAGTGGGACACAGCGAAAAGGACAGTTTGGACAGGTGGGACAGTCCCAATGGCGGCACAGGGATGCAAGATGTGACACAGGGCGTGGGGACACCACGGGAACCTTGGGGACAGGTGGGTGGTGCTGTTGTTACACTTGCTGGGGAGGGAATGAGTTCAGGGCTGTGCAAAAGGGGCTGGAGAAACCCAGCCCGGGTGCCGTGGAGGACGCAGGGGACGTCCCAGCATGGGGACAACGGAGCATCCCGTGCCGGCACGATGCCACCAAGCGGGGCGAGAGGCGGGTGGGCTCCTGCAGCACTGGGAGTGCAGCTGCATAATTAAAGGCAGCTGGAAGTAGGTTACATTTGCAAGCTGCACCGCCGCTGCAACGCGTGCTGCCGGCACGGCGGGGCCCGACGGCTGCCACCAGAGCTGATCAAAGGGCCGTGGTGCAAAACAAAGGCGCCAGCTCTGCTGCAGCACCAGCAAGAGCTACGGGTGGGAGATCCCTCTGCGATGGGCTGAGGGGGGGACGCCCTTCTTCGTCGAGGCTCCCAGGGACGGGCAGGGAGGGAGCAGGGGCGATTCTCCACGCACGGACGCGCTGTGACACCCCAGGGCCACTCACGTGGTGCAGTTCTCCACCACATCGCTGAAGCCGTCGTCCAGCTCCAGGTTGGCGGCGACGTTGGCGAAGCCGTGGGGCAGCTCGTCCCACTCGTCGAATCGCACTCCGGTGCCCAGGGAGTAGGTGCCCTCGGCACAGGGCTTGCACGCCTGCGCCTTCATGTCGAGGAACTCGCCCGCCTTGCAGGAGAAAGCTGCCCACGTGCAGGGGGGGCCGTCAGCGCTGCCCCCTCCCACCACCACTGGCTCTGCCACCAGGACCCCCCCCTTCCTTCCCCCCCCCGTCCTGTGCAGGGTGCTGCCGTGCTGCTGAGCACCGCGCTCGTTCGATGCCTTTGACAGCATCGCGCTGCCCCCAGGGTTAGGAAAAGTCACCTTTACCCCATCGAAGCCCCCCCCCCCAGCCACCCCCGCACCCCAGCCTTACAGCACTCGGTGCCCTTGACGGGGTCCGGCAGCCCGGTGCAGAGTCCCGGTGTGTGGGGCACCGCCACCCTCCACCGCGCGCCCGCGCTGTCGCACGCTGTGTATTCGTAGTGGTACTCAGACTGCAAGAGAGAACGCGTGGAGGGCTGAGACCCCACGGGGCCGGGACCCCCAGGGAGCTCAGTTGCCACTGTGGAGATACGGGGGTTCTTTTGGCCACGGCACCGAGCGTGCAGTGGAACACACTTAGGGACGAGGCTGATGGGGGCCGGGTAGGGAGGGTGGCACCCCCCCATCCTGGTATCTACCCTACAGGGTGCTAAAACCCATGGTGAGCTATGAGGGCACAGGCACAACCCCAGCAGACAGCGCACCCCTTCTGTGGGCACCGCAGGGACAGAGTGCCGTTGAGGTGCTCCAGGCAAACCAGCAGAGACCCCGGCGATTGGGGCAGCCGGTCCCGTTGGCCGCGTTGCTCATTAAACACAGTGCCGGATGCGCCGTCCTGCTGGGAGCCACCCAGGCTGTGCCGTGCGATGGGACGGCGATGGGGACAGGTGGCACCTGCAGGGCGGGCGCGCGGGGCTGCAGAGCACAGCGCTGCCGATCGCAGCTCTCCGTGCTGCCATCTGTCCCCGCTCCGGGGCTCGCTCAAGGCCGGGCGGAGGCGATGCTGGGGACGGGAAGCACCCGAGGCTCTGTCCCCATGGCCACCGCGGCACCGCAGCCCCCCCGGAGCACAGAGCTGTGGCTGATGCGAGTTCGCTCGAAAACAAAGCTTTGATGTTTGCCATCAGCTCCATGCGGTGGCGGTGCGGGTTGGGGGGGAACGCATGGAGACACCCCCCCCCCCCCCCCAGCCCCGTGCGTTGGGTGCAGCGCTGCAGGGGTGGGTCTTGGGGACGCGGGGGTCCCCGTGGAACAAAGAACAAATCCCCGGCACACAGCGTCACACCTGCTCCGCGCTCACCAGGGTGTGCAAGGCGGTGATTCCTCCTTCCCAAACTTGGAGGAGCCGCCGGCAGCTGGGAATCACCCACTGCGCGCCGCCTAAAGCCACCTCCATTGACCCCGGGGCGATGCGGACCTCGGGTGCGTCCCAGCAAGCAATAGGGATGGGGGCAGCGGACGAGGGACCTGGGAGCAGCCCCCCAACCCCCGCAACCCCGGCGCCAGCATCAGCGCAGCCCATTGTTTCCAGCTCTGGGCCGTGGAACGAAATAAATAAATAAATGAATTGGATCACGGAAAGAAAAAAAAAATAAATAATAAATAAAAATCTTAATGGCCCAGATGAAAAGCGGCCGCAGGGCGCGGGGGGGGGGGAAAGGGGGGCGGGGGAGACACACAGAGTGGGGAGCGCGTGGGGCAGGAGAGCCCCCTGAGGGTGCCTGGGTTTGCGGGCAGGCAGGGGCCAATTCGGGCTGTGAGGGATGGAATCGGGGAGCTCGGTGACCCCCCCGGGAGGGCGCCATGCTCGCCCGCCCCCCCCCTCCCTTCAGCCCCCGGCTCTCTCGGGCAGGACGCTCCGTGCCGCCCCAGTGAGATAAGAGCCGCGCTGCGCCCTGTGCCAGGCTGGGGAAGGCTCGCGGCGAGGGGACGCGCGTCCCGCTGCCACCGACCGAACCCACGGCACCGGGCAGAGCTGAACACCCCCTGGGTGGGCAGAGAGGAGGGGACGGGCGAACCCCGAGTCCCCCAGCAGCCATCCCCCAGCCCGGCGCTCTTCTCACGGTCCCCGCCGCTGTCACCGTTAACCGCTGTCCCGCCGGGGCTCGGGGTGGCGGACGCGGGGACGGAACACAGCGCAGCCCCCCACCGGGACCCCCAGCGGGGGCTGCTGACCCCGGACACGGCCCCACAGACTCGGCCGCGCGTGGGGCGCGGCGATAACCCCGCACCGCATCCCTCGGCGTGCGGCGCTCAGCTCCATCCCGACAGTACCGGCACCCCCCGGCCCCCCTCCCCGCTCCCGGTAACCCCCCCGGTACCTCCTTGCAGACGTGCAGCCGCTCTCCGACACGGCACAGCCCTACGGCGGCGGCGGCAGCCACGCACAGAGCCAACAGCGCCCGCCGGGCCCCGGTACCGGCACCAGCACCGGCCATGGCGCAGCGGCGGCGGCAGCGCTCGGCCCCGCTCGGGCACCGGCACCGGCACCGGCCCCGCGGTCCCGCCCCCCGCCAACGGCCCGGCCCGGCCCGCGCGCGCACCTGCCGCCACCTGCACCGCCCCCGCCCCGCCCCCGGGAAGCGCCCCCGGTACCGGCACCGGAAACGGCACCGGGCATCGCTTCCCGGGGATGGCACCGGGCATCATCCCCTGGAAACGGCACCGGCACCCGAGCATCGCCCTCGGGGGCGGCACCGGGCGTCACCCCTTTGAAACGGTTTCGGCACCGGAACCGGCGCCGGGCAGCGCTCACCGGGACCATCGCCGTGACCCCGGCACCGGGCATCACCCCGAGAGCTGCACCCCTCCCCCTCCCCCTCCCCCCGCCGTGCCTCCCCGCCGCCCCCTCCCCCCCCGGCCCCGCCCCGCGGCGGTTCCTCGGCAACGCCGGCAGCACCGGACCGGCTATGGCAGGCGGCGGCGCGACCCCGCCGGCTCCCCCCCGGCCCTGGAGCCGTCTCCACGCCGCGGCCGCGCGGTGCAGCCGCGACCACCAGTGAGTGTCCGATGCGTTCCTCCCCCGCCACGCTCCCGTTGCGGTGGCTCAGCCTCTACCTCCGTGCAGGGCCCCCCCACAGCCGGAACGGCCCCCGGAGCCGTGGCCGCGGAGCTGGGCGAGCCCCAGGAAGGAATCGGTGCATCGGATCCAGGGACGGATCGGTACGGCACCGGGACACCGGGCGGGGGGCACGGCTGCGTGTCAAGGGTGGGGGGGAGGAGTCGGCGGCCCAAGCTCGGGGGCAGCGGGACACGGCAGTGGGGGAGGGGCGGGGGGGGCTGGCTGTGGCCGCACCGCGCTGAGCCGCTGCCCCCTCCCCTCCCCCCGCAGAGTGCCCGCACAGCGCTGCCACCAACGGCGGTTACTCCCGAAAGGAGAACGGCGGCTTCTTCTGCCCGTAGGACCCCGCAATAAAGCGCGGAGCGGAGCCGGCCTGAGTGCGCGGCCGCGTGGTTGGGGGCGGCGGGCGGATCAGAATCGCCTGCGCTCAGGGGCCGGCCGGGGCCAGGCCTCGCCTATCTGATCGACTCATCCCGCCCGCCCGCCGCACAGCGCCAGCGGCTTCGCGGCTCCGTTCTTCTCATCTCGGCCGGGGCCGATCGAATAAGATCAATGTGTAGGGAGAGGGCGGCACGCGCTCACACCGCTCACACCGCTCACACCGCTCACACCGCTCACACAAACGCACACACTCAATTCCCTTCCACCCGCACACACACAGCGCTGCAACCACTCTCCGCTCGTTCCGTCCCGTCGCGCCCTTTTATAGCCTCCCCCGCGCGGGGCACGCTGGGAACCACCGCCCGGTCACGCCCCTCCGCACAGCGCCTCCTACCGGAGGGAGGACCGCGGTGCAGCCCCCCCCCTTCCTCCCCAGCCCTGGTTGCGAGCGCGGAGATGGCGGTGGATAGAGCGCGTTTATTGGCACGCCGAGCCCCGCCGCTCGGCCACCGGGGCACCGAAACGCGGCCCCGCACACGAGGAAGGGTCCTTGGCTGCTGGCCCAGCTCCCAGGACCCCATGGCCACGGGGAGGGGGCCGGTGGGCACTGGGATCTTCCCATCCTTGTCAAGTAACGGTGTATGGTGACACCTGGTGCTGCCCCACAGCGGGCACTGGGACGAGGCGGATTCAGAGTGGCTGCCACGGGGTCCTGGCGGGGTCACTTCACCACGAGGACGTAGAAGGCCATCAGCACACAGGAGATGGCCACGGGAACATGCAGCCGTGTGCCAATGACGGCAGCTGCAGAGCGGTAGCAGGGAGCTGTGCTGGGCAGCACCCAGCAGCTGTCCCAGCACTGTCCTGTCCCCATCCCGTGCCACCACCCCAGCTCTGCACCGCTATCCCAGACCCCCTTGTCCCTCCATCCCGGTCCCACCATTTGTATCTCGTGCCCCAAGTCATGCCCACCATGTCCCCATTCCACATCCCAGCCCACTGCACACCCCAATGCCACCACCTCCACCCCATGCCCAAGCCCAGCTCGTGCCCCCAACACCACCGCCCCCATCCCATCCCATCCCCACGTCCCCACCCCGGTCCCAGTGTCCCCACCGCCCACCCAAGTCCCGCGTTCCTTATCCCAGACCTCAACACCCCACTTCCATCACATCACCCACAGCCCAGCCCCACGCTCCCATCCCGGCCCCACATCCTTTACGTCAGAACCCAACACCTCCGCTCCCATCCCGTACCGCAGCCCCCCCGCAATCCCCCCTCACCTTTGTAGCCGACGCCCCACAGGCCGCGCTTCTCAGACAGCAGCCAGGCCCTCAGGCGCGGCACCTTCCTCAGGTAGGCGCAGGTGCACACCAACAGCAGCCCGAACACCAGCAGCCCGTCCAGCGAATACACTGCGGGCGGCACAGCTGCGTCCCGCGGGGCAACGACCCCTCACCCCTCCCGGGACCCCCCCCCGTTCCCCGCCCCCCACTCACCGTTGGTCATGGCGGCACCGGGGGCTCTCAGCGCGGCCCCGGCCCCGCGCACACTGCGCATGCGCACGGGCACTTCCGCCAACGCGACACCGGAAGTTGCGGGGCGGGCAGCCGAGCGCCGATGGAGGCGGGGAGGAGGATGGGTTGGGCTGCAAGAAGCAGGCGGCCTCAATCGAGCGCCTATCGAACGTGTTTTCTCCACCCCTCTGCTGGTCTCGCTGAGGGGTGGGGGGAGTTCGGGGTGGTCGTGGGCATAAGGAGCCCGGGGGGTGCTGGAGGCACTCAAAGGGTGCCGTGGGAGGGGCAACATCTGGGGCCTTCTCTCAGGTTGTCCCTTCCATCGTGATAACCCCATGTGATGCCTTTCCAAGGAGAGCTCAGGTCCTCCTGGTGACCCTGTCTGTTTGTGGCCCCGAAGCCAAGTGACCCCACGCCCTTTAGCCCCCTCCCCATTGACCCTGCTCTCACTCCAGAGGGTGATGCGAGCAATTCCCTCACCCTGGACATGGCCCCTTCACCCAGCCCAAGATAGTGCCAAACCCAGTGGGGGGCCTGGAGACACCAGGAGACACACGAAGAGCTGCTCTTCATCCACAGCAGGAGGTGGAGACAGGACCTGTACACAGAGATGAGGGGTTTCCCAGCCAGGTGGCGAGGTTGGTGTAGCCCAGGCACTGTGCTGAGCAGTGAGAGCAGGATGGGCAGCAGCAGAGGTCAACCCTCCATCCCTCCATCCCTCCACCCCTCCATCCCTCCATCCATCCATAGCTCAGCACAACACGGCGCTGCCTTCTTTGCTCCTCACCCTTTCTCTTTCCTTTTCCCTTTCATCCTCCCTTCTCATCCTCATGTTTCTCCCTGGAGGAGGATGAGGGTCAGTGCTTCCTCCAACGACATGGAAGTCTGGGAGGGAGCAGAACTGGGAGAGAGGATGGAGCACAGGACAGGGACTGGCAGGACAGGCCCCCATGTTGGGAGGGCACAGCGGAGGCCGTGCTTTGGGGATGAGATGGATTCATGGATTCCCACTTCTTCAGTACAGGCAATCCCCAGCCTGGGGCCACGGGCACGACAGGGGCAGTGCCAAGGGCCTGGGGCCATGCTGTGCTGTGCCATACATTTTTGCGCCATCATGCAGTGTCACACTGTGCCACACCACACCACGCCATGCCATTTTGCACCGTGCCGTGCCAAACTGTGCCAAACTGTGCCACGCTCCTCCCCGCCACGCTGTGCCGAGTTGTGCCGCGCCGTGCAGGCCCTGCGGGGGCTGAGTTGCTCACCTGCTCCTCCCCTGCTCTCAAGTCAAAACACGTCCCTGCATCCCGGGCGCAGCAGAGCGGCAGCGAGCACCGTGCTGACGGCCCCGCCGTGCTGGCACCCAGGTAAGGCAGCACTTGGCCCCACTGAAACCCATGCCCATGGGGGTCCCAGCCCTTCTGCCGTCCCCTTACCGGTGCTGGCAGCCCCTTTTCTGCCTCAGTGTCCCTATGTGCTCACCTTCCTGCTAGAGAAATTGAGGTACAGCATGAGTGGGGGGCGAAGGCAATGCAACGCCATGGCTGACCCCATCCCACCCATTGGGCCCCAAGGGATGGGAACGCCGGGCGGGGGGATACGGTCACATTTCCCACCCCCACCCCAGGAAAACGCCTGCGGCCCAGACAGGAAAGAAATAAAAACTGGGAGAGGCACCCAGCGAAACCGGCCCCGCACCCCCACCACCTTTGCCCCTGGGACGGGGCTCAGCCCGGCAGCCCAGGCTGGCAGGCACGTGTTTGCACACCTTTGTTTATCGTAGGACCTACGAGAAGGCAAAGCAAACACGGCCTCGCCTTGCTCCCTGCAGGTACCCAGCATGGAGGGCAGGGAGGAGGCGGGCGACTCCGGCAGTGCGATCATGCTGCATTTGGGTGAGCGCTGGGGGACAAAAAGGGGTTTTGCATCCCGGGGTGTGATGGGTGCCCTCTCCTGGGGTGCTTTTAGGGGCACGGCAGGAGGGACAAACTGGGGTGCTGCCCGTTGGAGGGGGAGAATTTGCTGTTGGGCAATGTGGGGGTTCCCCATTTGGAGAGCGGGGGGACCCTGTCTGATGTGACTCAGTGGTGTTTCACTGCGGGTTGGGCTGAGTCAATGTGAAATGGTCCCCCCTGAACCCCCCCCAGTGCTGGGAAATCACTGCTGCGTGCAGTGTGAGAGGGGTGAGCAGTGAGCACAGCTCCCGTGGGTCCAGCAGCGCCCGTCCCAGCGCGGAGCTCTGGAAAACTGGGAGCTCAGGGGGTGGGGGAGGCGGGGAGGGGGATCCGGCCACAGCTCAGCCCCTCCATCTGTCCGTCCGTCCGTCCATCCAGGCCCCGGCAGCCCCACGGCCCCGCTGAAGGAGTTGGCGCAGCGGGTGCGCAGGCAGCAGCAGGCGCTGGAGCTGTGTGTGCAGGAGCTGCGGCGGCTCTGCCTGCGTGAGGCGGTGAGAATGGAGACGGGGGGACCCTGCCAACCTCCCTCCCCCATCTCCTGTCACCGCTCAGTGTCCCCACATCCATCCCCAGGAGCTGACGGGGACGCTGCCCCAAGAGTTCCCCCTGAAGGCCGGTGAGAAGCCCCCCAAGGTGCGGCGCAGGATCGGGGCCGCCTTCAAGCTGGATGAGAGCCTGGTGCTGCGCGGGGCGGTGAGCGGGGGGGGGCAGAGGCTGCACCCATGGGGCACCCACAAAGGGATGAGCATTTATGGGGGACCCCTCACCATCCCCACCCCCACAGAGGTGCACTGCAAAGGGCGCAGGGGGTGCAGCAATGCAAAGTGCCCAGCGGTGCGCGGTGTCCTCAGGGTGGGGGACATTTGGAGGTGCCAAGTGTCCCCTTCCCCCACCCCCAGGACCCACTGGGCGCCCTGGAGCGGGACCTGGCGCTGCAGATGCAGATTGCCAGAGCTGCACATCGCCTGTGCCGGGAGGAGAACATCAGCAAGCAGCTGCGCCGCAGGAGGAAGACGGCAGCATTGAAGGAGGAGCAGAAGCTGAAGGCGCTGGAGGACACCCTGCTGGCCGAGCGCCGGGCCCTGTCTGCTGGTGGCACCGGGGGGGCTCAGGGTGAGAACGGGGGCTTCCTTCTGGGGTGGAAGGGATGTGCGTAGCTGCGGGTCCCCAGTGCACTGCACTGCTGTGACACCCACGGTGCGTGCCCCCCAAATTGCTCCTCCGCGTGGGTGCACCCCAAACACGGGTGCAGCTGGTGAGAGCACCCCAAAGCTTCATCCCTGGTGGATGCACCCCAGCGCACTCGCTGCCCACGGGGAACGCACCCCGATGTGCCTCCCCTGCGAGCGAACCCCAAAACTCCATCAGTGGTGGATGCACCACCCCCACTGCTGCGCCCCAGCTCTCCTCCTCCTGCGGCTGTACCCTCGTGGATGCACCTCAGCACTGCACCGCCCCACTGCGCGCGCCCCAATGCTCTCTCCCCGGCGTTCGCACCCCAGCGTGGGCTGCACCCCGCTCCCACGGCAGAGCCTGGGCAGGGCTGCGGGGCTGGGAGCTGCCCGGAGCGCTCCTGTGAGCCGGACCAGCCGGTCCCGCCGCCGTCCCTGAGCGTGTCGGGACAGGCGGACGGGGGAGGGGAGCGGGGACGCGTTGGGTGGCGGCCGTGGGAGCGCGGTGCCCCGTGGCACACCGCTGTGCGCCGCTGTCCCCGCAGAGCTCAGCGCGTCGGATGAGAGCTCGCTGTCGGACGCTGCGTTGCCGGAGGAGGGTAAGGGCTGTGGGTACGGGGGACGCATCCCGCCCCTCCCCACCGCAACGCTCCGTCTGTCCTGCAGAGGAGGCGCAGCCGATGGGAGCCGGCACCCCGCAGCGCCTTCCGTCGCCGTGCCCGTGGCCCCGCTTGGCCCCTGAGGAGCAGAGTGAGGATCCGGGTTGCCCCTCTGCACCCCCCGGCCCCTGGAGGGAGACCAGCCTCGATGGACCCTACGGGAAGGCCAAGAGCATCAGTGCTGAGCCTGGGGATGGGGAAACCCGCGCATCCCGGTGCTGCCCCACGTCCCCACCCGCTGTCACCTCTGTTCCCATCAGCCCTGACTGCAGGGCTGGGGACGTGGCCCCGTATCGCTTCATCCCCGTCCGGAGCGTGGTGCTGTGCAGGCAGATGGGATCCAGTGCTCCCAGCACCCCAGAGCCAGCGATCCGACGTGGACAGTGCCAGTCCCTGAGGTACGGCTGTGCCGTGAGTGGGGACAGGCTGCTGGCACCCATGGGGGGGGGGGGAGATAACCCACAGGGAGGATGGGGATAATTCGTGGGGAGGATGGAGGTGGAAACTCGTAGGGTGGTTGGAGACGACTCACGGAGAGGTTGGAGATGGTAACCCACAGTGATAGAGATAACCCAAGGGGAAGATAGAGATGACCCGTGGGGCGAGGAATAAGGCCCATGGAAGGGAGGATGGAGCTTGCTCCATCTAGATGACCCGTGGAGAGGAGGAAGCCCCATGGAGGAGATGGAGCGAACTCCACAAGATAATGGTACCCTACGAGGAGGATTGCGATACTTCTGGGGGGACAAAGATGAAGGCAAGCCTTTGTCCTGCAGGGTGGACTCGCGTTGGGAGCCGGCTGAGACGCGGGGCCGCAGCACAGCTCCCCGCCGCCGCCCCACGTATTACACAGTGACAGTGCCCACCTCCTGCCCCCCAGCCCCCAGCCCCACACCGCGCTCCGGCTCCGACGACAGCATCTCCGACGTCTCCAGCGTCTCCCACGCCACCTCCCCGGGCAGCAGCAGCCCCGACGTCTCCTTCCCACGTCCCCCAGCCCCACCGCCCTGCACTGAACCCGCTTTTTACCCCCGCGGAGCCCCCCGGCTCCTGCCACCCCCCGGCCCCCCACTGTTCCTCTATGAGCAGGACCTGGCCCCGCTGCGCTACCAACGCCTGGTGCCCTCGCACAGCCGCATCGTGCGCACCCCCTCGCTTAAGGACTACGTGCCAGGGGGGTCCCGTGGGCTCTCCAAAGCGGCGGTGACGGAGGAGCTCAAATCGTGGCACCAACGTGCCCGGCTGCGGGGAGCCCGGCCTCATTCCCTCGACAGACAGGGGGCTTTCCGGGGACACCGCTGTGGGAACCCCCAGGATGGACCCCCCCTCCGTGGGGCACCGCTGAGGGCTCAGGTAAGGCACGAGGATGGGGAGGGACGGGTGGGTGGGGGGCGATGGGATGGCTGTCACTTTGTGGGGACCCCCTTAGTGCTGCCCTGTGGGTGAGGGGATGATGTGAGCTGTTAGCCAGCGGTGGCTCTGGTGGGTTCCATGGGGGTCCCCTGAGTGCGAGGTCCTGAGGTGTCCCTGGGACAGGACTGGGGACCTGTAATGGTCCCTGGGGCAGCGTTGGGCCTCACAAGGATCCTTGGGATAGAGGTGGGAAGGTCATTGGGGCGGGAGCTGGTTTTAAGGGGATCTCAGGGGGGTCCTTAGGGCAGGGTTAGGGTCCCACTGCCAGCACTGGCACCTTGTAGGTGTTTTGGGGCCAGAACGTGGCCATTTGGGGGAGGGTGGGGGTCAGCAGGGGGTCCCTGTAGCCACCTTTGGGGCCCTGACAGCAGTACCGATGTGGGGCGGGTTGGGACAGCCCCACCACCTCCCAGTGGGGCCGCGTCCCCAGGGCACAGGGTGGGGTCCCAGCACCCACGGGTCCCTTCTCCCACTCAGGCAGCCCCGATCCGCATCCTGCGGCGCTCCCCGCCCGGGGTGCCTGTGCAGGTCTACGTGCCTGAGAACGGCGAGATCATCACACAGGTGTGAAGCGGCCCCCAGCCCCACGGGGCACGGCCTGGCTGGCCCAGGGCAACGGGGAAGTGGGGACACAGCCGTCATGCACCCCTGTGGGCTTGGGATGGGGGACGGGGGCACAGCTGTGGGGTGGGGTGGGCAGGGCTGGCTCCTTATGCTGTCCCATGTCACCAGTGACCCCTGAAGGGTCTGCAGTGCAGATGTGTCATTATGGGGTGATCTTTTTTTGCCCAATAAATGTGGTCGTTTGGGATCCCTGTGTGGTCACTTCTATCCTCGCCATCTCCTCGGGTCGCGTCCCTCTGTCCCCAGTGCCACCAACAGCAGCGGGGTGAAGCTGTGCGTGGCTGAGATGATGCTGGGGAGGGGACATGGGGCAGCAATGGGAGCAGGGGAGGGGGAGAGAGTGGGGTGTGGGACCTATTCCATATAGGGGTAGGGTGCAGGGTGTGGGGTGTGAGAGAGCAGGAGTGGGGATGGGATCGGGTGCAGGGATGGGGTACGAGGGTGGGAAGGGATAGGGATAAGGATAGGGGTAGGGATAGGGATAAGGATAGGGATAGGGATAGGGATAAGGATAGGGATAGGGATAGGGATAGGGATAGGGATAGGGATAGGGATAGGGATAGGGATAGGGGTAGGGATAGGGGTAGGGATAGGGATAGGGGTAGGGATAGGGATAAGGATAGGGATAGGGATAGGGATAGGGATAGGGATAGGGGTAGGGATAGGGGTAGGGGTAGGGATAGGGATAGGGATAGGGATAGGGATAGGGATAAGGATAGGGATAGAGATAAGGATAGGGATAAGGATAGGGGTAGGGATAGGGATAGGGGTAGGGATAGGGGTGGGGTGCGGGGAGGGGGATGGAATGGGGCGGGATGTGGGCAGGGATGCGGCGCAGGAGGGGCCGACCGCAGGGCAAGGGCAGAGCGGGGCTGCGGGAGAGCTGCGGGGAGCGGAGCCGTGCCGGGGCGCTCCGCCCGGTGGGGGCGGGCTGGGGCCGCTGCGTGCGGCGGGAGGCCGTGCCGAGGGGGGGGCACCGGGCGGCGGCCGAGTTCCACCGGCTGCGGCGTCACTGCGGGCCTGCAACGAACCGGCACCGAACCGGCACCGCCATCGGCACCGCGCGGGGTGCGCGACGGCCCCCCCCAGCCCCCCGATGGGCCCCGCCGGCAGCCGCTGGCCGCTGGTCGGCACCGTGCTGATGGCCGTGACCGCTTCGCTGGGTGAGTGAGCGACGCGGAAGGGGGAGGTGGAGGTGGAGGTGGGGGGGGGGGGGGGGGAGGGCTGTGACCGTGGGACAACCGGACGCGGTGATTCGGGAGCGCGGCTCCGCTGCACCCTCGGCTGCTCCGCGGAGGGGCCGCGCGCGAAGCTCGGCTTCCCCGCCCTGCAAAGCCCAGCGGGGGGCGGCGGTGCGGGGCTGTGCGCGGTGCGGAGCCGCCGTCCGCCGCCGTGACCCCGCGGTTCCCGGACGCCGTGGCCGGGGCTATTCCGGGAGTGCGGGTGGCAGAGCCAGAAATAGAGCGGGGGAGGATGGGGCCGGGCGGGGGAACGCGGGGATGGGATGGAGAAGGGACGGGGATGTGGGGACGCGGGGATGGGACGTAGGGATGTCGTGGAGAGGGGTGTGGGGGAGCGGGATGGGCCGAGGAGGTGAATGGGAGGGAATATGGGGGTGGGATGGAGCGCGGTGCGGGGACGTGGGGACGGATTAAAGGGGTGTGGGGACAGGGGCAGAGGTGGGGATAGGGGTGGGTATGAGGGCGTGGGGATGGGATGGAGCCGGGTATGGAGATGTGGGGAGGGGTGGAGCGGGGTATGGGGGTGCGGGGCAGGATGAAGTGGGGGTAAGTGGGAATGGGACAGAATAGGGTACAGGAATGGGGGGACCGCATGGGGTGAAGTGTGGGGATGGGCGAGTGGGATGCAGCGACGTATGGGGATATGAGGATGGGATGGAGAGGGGTACGGAGACATGGGGACAGCGTGGAGCGGGATGTGGGGACGTGAAGGGGGGCACAGTGACACGGGGACAGCGTGGAGTCCGGTGCAGGGATGTGGGGACGGGATGGAGCGAGGCACGGGGTGCAGTGACACACAGGGTCCCCACCCGGGGCTGCGGACGTGGGCTGCTGCTGGTGGCACCGAGGTGACAAGGGTGGTCCCCAGTGGCGGGGGGCGAGGACTGCCTGTGGTACGTGGACAAGAACGGCTCGTGGCATCCCGGCTTCGACTGCGAGGCTCTGTCGTTCTGCTGCGGCTCCTGTCACCAGCGGTACTGCTGCTACGACCCCCTGCGCCTCCTGACCGAGCGCCAGCAGCGCCACTGCCTCGCCTTCAGGTGCTGGGGCTGCACGATGCCGGTGCTGGGAGTCACCACTGGGTGCTGGGCATCAATCGGTGCTGGGTGCTGGGTACGGGGTGATGGGTGTCATTGCTGGGTGCTGGGAGTCACTGCTGGGTGATGGGCATCAATCAGTGCTGGGTGCTGGGAGTCACTGCTGGGTGCTGGGTGTCATTGCTGGGTGCTGGGAGTCATTGCTGGGTGATGGGAGTCATTGCTGGGTGCTGGGAGTCATTGCTGGGTGCTGGGAGTCACTGCTGGGTGCTGGGTGTCATTGCTGGGTGCTGGGAGTCACTGCTGGGTGCTGGGTGTCATTGCTGGGTGCTGGGAGTCACTGCTGGGTGCTGGACATCGCTGATGGGCGCTGGTATCTGGGTGCTGGGCACCAATGTCGAGTGCTGGGCATCAGTCACTGCTGGGCGCTGGGCTCTGGGTGCTGAGCAGCACTGCTGGGTGCCTGCTTTTGGGCTCTGGGGTCAGAGCGCTGTCCCTCAGCCCTAAGACCATCGCGGGCATCGCCTCGGCCGTGGTGCTGTTCATCGCCATCGTCACCACCATCGTCTGCTGCTTCATGTGCTCCTGCTGTTATCTGTACCAGCGGCGGCAGCACCTCCGCACCCCCCTGCAAGGTGGGAGCTGGGGAGGGGGCTGAGAGATGTGGGTGTAGGGTGGGGATTGGGGGTGCAAGGGGGGATTTGGGATACAGAAGGAAAGATTTGGGGTGCAAAGGGTGGGGGGATGGAGTACAGAAGGAGGGCTTTGGGGTGCTGGATGGGGGATTTAGGGTGCGAGGGAGGACTTGGGATGCATGGTGGGGGATTTGGGATGCAGGGTGGGGGGCTCGGGGTTGGCACAGCAGAAGGCAGCCCCCAGCCCTCTCTCCTACAGGCCCTGAGATCCCGCTGGCCAGCTATCCTGCACCCCCACCTGCTCCCTTCCCTGTGGACCCCAAAGCCGGCCCCATGCCCCCCCAGCCCGGCTTCGCCCCCATGGCCATGTACCCACCCACCGGCCCCGCCGCCCAGTACCCGCTGTACCCCTCAGGACCCCCGGTCTACAACCCTACAGGTGAGCACTGGGTCCCCCTTAAAAGCACCACAGCCTTTTGGGGGGACCCACACCAACCCCCCCCTTCTCTCTTCGCAGCACCACCACCCTACGTCCCCGCACAGCCCAGTTATCCCGGTGCCTGAGCCCCCCTGGGGACTCCTGTCTCAATGGTGACACCTATAAGGGACACAGCGGTGGGGGGGGGGAGGGGGGGTCCTGCTGTCCCCACCCCAGGGCCGCGATTCTGCCCTGCGATGCTCATGGAAATCTCTGCCCCCCGCCCCCCCGGCCACAGCAGGGACAAGCAGCACAGAGGGCCTTTTGTCCCCACTCCACACACTGGGCCCATTGTGGGTGCTCTCGGGGGGGGCCATGCATGAAGGTGGGGGCAGCGAGGCCGGGGGTCCCCCTGCCCTCCGGCACCAGAGGGGAGCCGTGGTCCAAACGGGCAGCATTAAACTGTGCGTCCCCCCGGCGTGGTGTTGTGTCAGTGCTCCACACCCTCTGCGGGGAGAGGAGGAGAGGAGGGGGGAAATAGATTTCAATGGGGTCGCGTTCCTCCTCCTCCTCCTGAACATTCCTGCATCCCAAAACCAATCATTTCCTTTTAGCGACTCCCCCTCCCCCCCCCAAACCGACACAGAACCGGGGTGCAAACCCCGACCGCGGCGGCATTTTGGGGTCACAAGCACCAAACCCACAGCCCCGAGCGCAGCTCAGTGATTTCCCCACCGCTCTGCGCCGCGGGGGCCGGGACGCGTCTCCCCCCCATCCGCTGTGGGCTGTGATTCACTGCCTATTTTCGGAGTGATTCACACCATGCAGCGGCACGGCGGGGGGGGGGAGGGAGGGAAGGGGGGACTAAATTTGGGACTGCCACATCCCAGCAGCTTGAGTGGGACCCACAGCGCCGATGCGCTGCACGGATGTTGGGCTTTGTGCCGCCTCTGGGCTCTCAGCACCGCATCCCAACCTCTTTCCTATTAACAAAAAGCCCCTCAGCCACCCGCGGCTCCTGAGGAGGGGGGAAACCGAGGGGCCAGCGCTGAGTTTTATTGAAGTGGGGAGTTCAAATAATAAAAAGGGGACGGGAGGCGCGGGCGGGGGGTTGGGGGGGGCTCAGGGCTGGGGGGCCGCGTGCCCCCCGAGGTAGCGCTCGCGGATCTGGGCCAGGCTGGCACTGAGGCCGCCCAGCGCCTGAGCGATGCTGCGCAGCACCGCTGCCATCTCCCGGCGGCTCTCGGCGCACTCCCTGCGGAAGGCTCGCATCTCCTGCACCAGGCGCTCGTTGCAGCGGATGAGGCGCAGCTCGGCCGGGCTGAGCCGGGCGCTGCTTTCTGGGGTCCCGTCCGTCCCGCCGGGGGTTCCCCCCCCCGTTTCGCTGCAGTCACTGAGCTGTTCGGTGTCCGGCTCGAAGATGACGCTGCTGGGAAAGTCGCAGCCCGGAGGTTCTGGTTGGATCCCCAGGTCGGGGTGGGGGGGCTGCGGGGGGCTCCAGCCCTCGCCGGGTGTCTGGGTGCTACTGCGGAGCTGCCGCCGTGCCGGGACGGTGCCGCCGTCCGTGGGGTCATGGAAGGGCTCCGTCTTCACCTCCATCGGTTCCTCCTTCACCGCCTCCTCCTTCACACCTGTGCAGGACGCAGTGCTGTCACATCGCTGTCACCCCCCACCCCCCTGGCGGCCTTTGGGAGCCCCCGGCGCTGGGATTTGGGACAGGAGGGCAGGAAGCGCTGCGCCGTGGGGACACCCAACGCAGCACTCGTGTCCCGTGTCCCCATACATCCCTGTGTGCCCAATGACCACCCACCCCTATCCACGTCCCTCATCCCTCTATCTGCATCCCACATCCCGTGTCCCTTGTCCGTTCTCAGCCCCTTCTCATGTCCCCATCCCTGTCCTGCTCTCCCGTGTCCCTGTTTGACTCCACCACATTCCTGCCCTGTACCACATCCTGCCCAATCCCTGTCCCCATCCCTGTGTCCCACGTCCCTGTCTGCGTCTCCGCGGCCCTATCCCTGTCCACGTTCAGTCCCGTCTCACGGCCCTTCTGTGCCCATCCCACTCCCCCATGTCCCCACCTCGGTTCTGGTCCCTGCCCCATGTATCTGCTCCCCGTCCCACCCAGACCCACCCCCCATCCCTGCCCCACCCCCTCCTCCCCCGTCCCGCTCCTTTCCCCCATCCTCCCCGCCCCATCCCACCCCGCTCCGTCCCCGCACACACCGCACGGTGCCGCCCTTTCCCCTCCGAGCAGCGGTGCCGCTTCGCCGCCGCGCGGTCCCCATAGGGGCGCGGGTCCGGGGCCGAGCTCAGCGCTGGCGGTGCCGGTTCCGGCGGCCCCGTGGTGCCGGGCCGCGTTGGTTCGCGGTGCCGGTCCCTGCCGCTCCTGCCGGTGCCGGGTGATTTTATCGTTGGCGCGGCGGCGCAGCCCCCTCCAGCGGTTCTTCACCTCGCCGATGTCGCGTTGGTTGCGGCCGGCGGCGTTGATCTTATTGGTGATGCGCCACCAGATCTTCTGCTTCTCGTAGGCGTTCACGGTGCTGGCGGCGGCGCCGAAGAGCAGCGGTTCGTAGCGGAGCACTTCGCTCATCAGGATCTCGATCTCCTGCAGCGTGAAGTTGGGCTTCCGCTTCAGCAGCCCCCGCCGCGCCGCGCCGCCCGCCGCCGCCATGCTGCCCGCCGCCGCCGCCTCATGCCGCCGCCCCGCCGCCCATCGCCCCCCTCCTCCCCCCCCCGCCCCGGCACCGCCGCCCCTTTGTCTGCGCCGCCGCCGCCGCCGCCGCACCGAGCGGCCGCCGCCGCGGGAGCGGAGCGGGGGGGGCAGCGCGGCGGGGCGGGGCGGGCGGCGGCACCGCGAGCTCCGCCGGCGGTGCGACCCGCGGTATGGCGCCCCCTGCTGGGAGCCGCCGGTACAGCGCCTCGCGGCCCGGCCCGGCACTGCCCCGCGCGGTGTGGCGCCCCCTGGCGGCCTGAGCGTGCGGCACGGTGGGGTATTTTCGGAGCGGCAGCGCCGTGCCCACGTTTGGGTCCCCGATGCCCGGGTCGCGGTGCGCAGGTTGGGATGGCTCTTTTGTGTTTGGCTGTGTGGGTGCCCAGCTGGCCCCACGGCGCCCTTTGGGGTGCCCCGAGGTGCTCGCTCTCGGGTGACCGCATGGCTCCAAGGTGCCTGGTTGTGATGTCCCTGTTTTGCGGCACTTAAAGACGTGGTTTGTCGGCGTGGTGGGGATGGGCTGACGGTTGGACTCAGTGATCTTAGAGGTCTTTTTCAACGTGAACAATCTGCAAGCGTTCCCAGCGCCCCCTCCCACGCCACCACCTGGCCCCGGCCCCAGCTTCCACGGTGTGCTGGCCAGGGGCTGCCTGTCCCCCCGCTGTCCCTGAGGAGCACTGAAGCGTTGGGTGAAGCTTTATTGCCGATGCGGTGGCCGCGGTGTACAGACCACGAGCGAGGCTTTGCACCAGGGCAGGCACTGCGGCCCCAAACATACGCCCATGGTTGGTGGAGTGACACTGTGGGTGACACTACAGGTGACAGTGTTATCCTTTGCTGCTATCCCCCCCCCAAAGTTCCATGGATCACTCAGTCCCTGCATGGAGACAAATGTCTGCTAAGAGAGGTCAGGTCATGTCCTGCAGGGGTGGTGGGACAGCCCTGGGGTCACCCCCAGCTGTGTCCCCCTCTCCTGCTCCAGCTCTTCCCAAATCCTACCCCTACACCACCCAATGTTCACCCCATCACCCTCCTGGCCACGCGGGGACCCCATGGGGACACACACCATGGCCACGTCTCCATGACCCGCCTGTCCCCATCCGCTCACCTCAGGCTGGATGGGGCTGGGGGATGCAGCCCCTCAGTGCACCCCTGGCCCCGTGGCACCCCCAGCCCCGTTGTCACCTCCCTTCTGCCCCTTTCCCTGCATTGGGGTGGGATGTGGCAGCGGACACTCAGCCAATCCCTCCCCATCCCTCCTCAGTGTCCCCAAGCAGTGCGGGGCACGGTGCTGGCAACAGAAAGAGCTTGAGGGATCACAACTGTACAAACAATAAATACGAGGTCTTTCTCACGCGCCGTGGCCAACAACCACGCCGGCCCTCCTCGGGCCCGGCCCTTCCTCCATCAGTCCCAGAGAGATCGCTGCTCCTCGGCGTCGGTCACTGCAGGGTCCCCAAGGGCTCATCACGGCGAGAGTCATGAGGAAGGCGAGCGTCTCGCTCCCTACTGCAGCAGCTTTGGTAGTTCCACCTGCCGGAGGAAACGTCCCGTTACCCAGCATGGATGGGTGGTGGAGGCTGACGGGGTCTGGTGAGCCTATGCTGCTGGGGGCGCTCAGAGCTCTGGGGTCACTGCTCCTTCCTGGCCAGGCTCTGGTTGTCCCCGTGCCTCAGGGCGGCGTGGTCAGGGACACAAAGTGCCTTGGGAAAGGGAGGCTTTGCGCCACGATGGATCTCCTGACCCCTTGTGCCTAAAAGGGACGGATCCCGACTCCACACAGCATCTCCCGACCCCGCGTGCCCTCCTGGGGACAGTGCCAAGGGATGGATCTGCCCGCCCTGCGTGCTCAGCGAAGGGATTTGGGTCTGTCCCTGACCCGTGCTCTGCACAGGGACCGTGGGCCCCGCGCTGCTCCCAGCACCGTGTGCCGCACCGCCCGAACGACCTCAGCCAGCACATCAACCCCGCGGTGCTGCTCGCGGTTGGCCCCGCCGCAGCCCACACTCACCTTCTTGAGCTGTTTGAGGTTGCTGGAGCGGATGGCCGCCAGCAGTTGATCTCGTGAGCTCTTCTCCTGCATGGGCACCCGGTCCCCCATCTTCCTCTGCGTGGCCGGCGACAGCGAGTTCCTCAGATTCTCGTTGATCAGCGGCGGGGCGAGGGGAGGAGGAGGGGGGGGTGGCGCGGCGGGGGCTCCCCCCTTCTTGGGAGAGTTTTTGGGGGACGCTTTTGGGGACGGCTGCGGGGATCCCTTGGGGGACCCCTTTGGGGCTCCGGCCTTGGGCACCTCCAGCAGATCCTTCTTCTCGCCGCGCTCCTGCGCCAGCTTCTGCTCCTGGAGGCGCTTCTGCCTCTGCCTGTCCATGTTGCGGCTCAGCAGGTTGGTGACGGTCATGCGGGGCCCGGCCAGCTCGAAGTGGTAGCCCAGCTTGAGCAGCGTGGTGTTCTCCTTCAGCAGCTTGGCGATCTCCATCTCCGTTTTGCCCCCGCAAATGTGCCGCTGGTTGTGGAAGCGCAGCTCCGTCAGCGTGTCGTTCTGCAGCAGCGCCCGGAAAATGGCCAGGATGCCTTTCCCCGTGATGTGGTTGGAGTCCAGGTTGATGCTGGTCAGCACCTTGTTGGACTTCAGCATGATGGCGATGGCGAAAGCCACGTGGTCGTCGGCGCGGGTGTTGGCCAACGCAAACAGCTTGACCACGGTGTTGAACTCCAGCGCCTCGGTGAAGCGCACCAAGGTCTCGT